TGCCGAATCCTATACCGGAATGTTTAGTTGCTTCCGGGACAGCTGGCTCTGGGACGCGGGCAAAGTTGTAATTTTAAGAAGCATCTAAACTGTTTTCTCAAAGCTCAAAATTTATGGAAATTTTGCACATTATCTGTTTGAAGGTCACAGATAACGTATGTAAATCGTCAGACGTCTAGTTCGTTGCAAAAAGGGGGTCAGACGTCCTCAAAGTTTTTATTTTATGGCATTTTCTTCGGTGTCCTGTCAAAATATATTTTTGCAGGTATTTGACAAATATATTTGAAGAAAATGCCATAAAATAAAAACTTTGAGGACGTCTGACCCCCTTTTTGCAACGAACTAGACGTCTGACGATTTACATACGTTATCTGTGACCTTCAAACAGATAATGTGCAAAATTTCTATAAATTTTGAGCTTTGAGAAAACAGTTTAGATGCTTCTTAAAATTACAACTTTGCCCGCGTCCCAGAGCGAGCTGTCCCGGAACTGTGAGTGCTGACTGTACACTAGCATTCTAACACTAAAGTACGACCTATTTTGAAAATATCCGCCTTGCGAAAACTCTTGCATGTTTTTGGCGCCACCTCCTGGACTATAACAATTTAAGATAAATATGCATAAGAACCTCATATAATTAAATAAGGAACTTTTTTCTCAAGAACTTGTCACTTAAAAATTAATATTTTATCAAAATTTTATTTTTATATTTATGGCAATACAATCAAATATGGTTCTTTCAAAAGGCGCTCGCGTTTTTTGAAGGTATAACATGTATATTTATCAGTAAAAATCGCTTGGCAATGAAAATTTGGACCAGGATCAATGGTTTAACAACACTATTTTTATGTGGATGTGAAACAAGTACTCATCTAGCAGAAGCCATTGGTGCAACATAGGACTTCTTGTCCTTGTGCATTTATTTATCCCTTCATAAGACGGAGGCGCTGGAGGCATCATCATCAAACAAACATAGACATACCAAAAATAATTAAATAGACAAAGACAAAAAGAAACTTGTTACTCCAGGTGTCAACATCATTTAATTTATATTTTTATAAAGGGTTTATAAGGTTTCTGGAAATATTTAAATGAAAACTTCTATATATCTTACAGTTATACTACGTTACTAACACAGGTGTCGGTAACCTTTATAAACTCCGCCATTTAAGTGTTTTAAGGCTTTTATAAGGGCGATGTAAATATTTCCCACATATTGTTATTGAACTATAGGTTATTTAAAGTGGATGTTGTAAAATATACGATTACCAATATACAGGGTGTCCCACGGTGGCTGGCGTATTAGACGTTTATGGAGAACTAAAAAGCGGATCATTTTGAAAATTTGGCAACCGGGATAAACGACCATGATCTACACTTTAAAAATTTTTGTCCATGCGGTGTTGCCGCTTCTACTCTAAACTAGTGGCAACATCACTATTTTAAATGGAACACCCCGTATTAAATTGCATATTTGGATTCTACGTAAAATTCTGAGCAGATTTCATGTAATATACCCTATACCTAAGTTCAACTGTTTTGGAAATATTGACAGTTGAAAATTGACTTTTTGCAACTTTGACAGGCTGTAAAACCTAATTGGTTAATTTTAGTGGAAAACCGATTTCACATTCCTGTCTTAGATTTTGATAAACTATCATTTAACATCAACTTTGAACTTAACCGGAGATTAAATTTAACTGAAATTTTTAATCATGGATTTAATTCAAAGATGGTGTCAAATGATAGTTTATAAAAATCTAAGATAGGAATGTAAAATCGGTTTTCCTCTAAAATTAACCGTTCAGGTTCTACAGCCTGCCAATGTTGCAATAAGTCAATTTTCAACTGTCAATATTTCCAAAACAGTTGAACTTAGGTATAGGGTATATCACAAGAAATCTGCTCAGAATTTTACGTGGAATATGCAATTTAATACGGGGTGTTCCATTTAAAATAGTGATGTTGCCACTAGTTAAGAGTAGAAGCGGCAACACCGCATGGTCAAAAATATTTTTAAAGTGTAGATCATGATCGTTTATCCCGGTTGCCAAATTTTCAAAATGATCCGCTTTTTAGTTCTCCATAAACGTCTAATACGCCATCCACCGTGGGACACCCTGTATAACTAAAAATGTTTATTGGGAGTCGATATAAAAAGAAGGAAGCAATAGCAGCAACTTTGAGCATGATAATTGCTAAAAATTCCTCAGCTTGCACGAAAACCTTCAAGAAAAATGGCACCAAACCGATTGCATGCAATGCCATTCAAGTTTCAAGAATCTTGCAGAAAACAATCAGCTGACTCACTTCTGCGCATGCCCTCTTTCAAGTCTCTTGCATATTGCAGATAGAGTTGCAAGCTGTAAAACGGCCTTAAGGCGAACATTACATCACAATTCGCGATCATGTAAAGGTGCATTTCCACCACGCGCGCAAAACGATTGCAAATTTGCGAATGATCAGCAATGTTTGTGAAGAAATTAATTTGATTGGTGGAGACTAAATCGAGAATGTTTGCAACCATGTGGGAAACTCTCTTTCTTTTAAATACACATTATTATAAAAACAGTGGCGGTGACAATAGCTTTTTTCGCGCAGCTAAAGTGTGTTTTTTTTTTAAAGATAAAAGTCAAATTGACATTATGTTGGCAATACAATGTAAAATTGTCAATGCTTTCAAATTTTTTATGTAGAAATGGCTTGTTTTGCCAACATAGTTACTAAATTTTTGACTTGGGGAATTATCTTGAAAAAAAAACAGACTTTATTTTGTCGCGAGCGTTCGTTTTAATTGTTTTTTTATGGAAACGCACCTTCACGATTTGTTGCAAGTTGCAATCGGCTTCCGTACCCGTACGTGTAACGTAAAAAAACTCGAAACTTGGAGAAATCTTTCATATTTTTGTCACTCTTCGCGTCGTAAATTAAAGAAAAAATTGCCAGTATGTGTTAGTTTTTTTGTTTACCTCCCTATTATAGTTGAATTTATAGCTACGCTCATAGGCTACGCTACAACATTGAAAATGTCAAAACGGCAGTTAGATATGTTGGACTTTTTTTCAAAAAAGCGTTAAAGTAATTTGCAAGTTACAGAAGAAACTGAAAAAGAACGTCAAAATATTGAAGGTTCTAAAGGTAAGCACCCAGTGTTTTTTTGTTTTATCGTTGTTTTGTCAAGTTTAGGAGAAAATGGGAAAACTAAAACCTAATCTAAATCTAAAAAAAATGAGAATTATCTTAATTATTGGCCTTTTAATTTTTTTTTTTATATAAATTAATATTTCTTTAAAAAAAGTTACTTCAATATTTCGGGTGGCCTTCATCATTATGAAACCCCCCCCCCCCCCCAAATAAAAAACCTGGGTGCGCCACTGATCTAGGTGTAGTTATAGACGACAAAATGTCATTTAAGGAGCACTGGGCTGGAACTCTGTAACGGATAGCGATCAATATCTCTATCTCTAGTGGCGTCCCCTCTCTATTGATTTTGATAAGAGAGAAGAAGACAGCAAGTGCCATAGCGATAGGGATAACGATCTCTATCCGTTACAGAGTTCCAGCCCTGGGGCCTTATTCTGTAAGGAACGAACCTTCCGATTCGGTAGAATTTCTTCGATTGTGACGTCATTTTCGGTTTGGTTTTCGCGCTACCAAACCGAAAATGACGTCACGATCGAAGAAATTCTACCGAATCGAACGGTTCGTTCCTTACAGAATAAGGCCCCTGGGTTTTCGGTTTGCTAGCACGGAAGCTATTCCGAAAATGCCGAAAATGACGTCACAATCGAAGAAATTCTACCGAATCGAACGGTTCGTTCTTTACAGAATGAGGCCCCTGAGCACTGCAACTTAACTATCTCAAAAATAAGATATGGAATTAGTCACCTTAGCAGATGTTCGCATAGTTTATCAAGATGGTCCAGATTAGTAGTTTTTAATGCATTAGTTTTTTTTTATATTACCATACTTTACATACTGTGCAACAATTTTGTATTTGTTGCAGCAGAATGAAATAAACCGCTTACAGAAAATGCAAAACCGCGCTGTGAGAATAATGCTATCATGTGATAAGTACACCTCCATTAAGACAATGCTTAGACAACTGCAATGGCTCCCTGGGCAGGAATTTTTTCGGTACAGCGTCTTAGTTTTCAGTTTCAAAATAAAAGTAGGTAATGCACCCGCATATTTAAAGAACAAATTAACAGTTAACAACCAATTCCATGGTCATAATACAAGGCAGCAGCAGAACTTCTATATGCAACGTAGAAATAAAAAGCTTGCTGGAAATTCTGTTTTTTTTTAAAGGCCTGGATGATTTTAATAAGTTAGGTACCTCGTTAGGTACCTAATAATCTTAAAAATAGTTTTTCTCTGAATGGTTTCAAGAAAAATTTGAAATTGTTTTTGCTTAGGGAAAATGATCTTGTTTCCTCCAAGTCTTTGTGCATTTAACGAGACATCTTGATCAGGTTTTTGTCCATTTTATCCATTCTGACTCTTGTCTTTGTCCATTTTAATAATTATACAGTTGTATTTTGCAATAATGTTTTTAATTGTTTTGTTATGATTTCCGTTTATATTGATTGATTGATTGTTTCTGTTAGTAATGTGCTTTGCTTTGTAAAATGGTAAAACTATAAAATTTTGTAAACTAGCGTGTATTTGCTAAATAAAGTATTATTATAGTATGCCACGAATCAATTAGGGATAAATTAACCGCGAATCGCGAATAAGTTAATAATCGGATAATTGAGGGAACGCAGGTCGATAGTAAGACAATAAAGTCCGGATTCATTTTTGTTAATTCAATAATCTGCGAACTTGTTTTCCTAACAATCAATTTAAACCTGTTTTTCATTAATTGCTTTTAACTTCCTAGATCATTGGTTTACTATGATTTTTTTAAATATTATGTATTCCTATTTTACAAAATGTTGGCAAATTGAAATTTCATTTATTTATTTTGATAATTCATATTTCATTAATTTTTCAGTCGAGATCAACTAAGAGCTATTGCAACTTACTTGTGTCTGGTGCCGCCACCCGGAGAAGAAGAAAATTTTAAATGGTGCAGATTAGATGAAGAGTTTTTAAAGGAATTATTGGTATCGCGTCATGAAAAACGCATCTCTCAGTTAGTTGCTCTGAACGAGATGCCTCTTTATCCTACAGAACAAATTATTTGGGATGAAAACATTGTACCAACAGCTTATTTTTCTGGAGAAGGATGTCTAGCTTTGCCAAAATTGAATTTGCAGTTTCTAACATTACACGATTACCTTTTGAGAAATTTTAACTTATTCAGATTAGAGTCCACTTATGAAATCCGTCAAGATATAGAAGACGCTGTCAGTCGTCTCTGTCCATGGAAAGCGGAAGATGGAAGTGTTTATTGGGGTGGATGGGCTCGTATGGCACAACCAATTGAACATTTCGCAGTGGTTGAGGTAGCTAAACCAAACATTGGCGAAACCAGACCTAGTAGAGTAAGAGCCGACATAACTGTTAATTTATCCGTTAAATTGGATGTTAAAACTGAGTGGGAAAATTTAAGAAAACACGATGTTTGTTTTCTTGTTACCGTAAAACCACAGAATCCTATAGGAACATACAGATACAAAGACACTTTTATACCTCAAGTAGGTCTTGAGTATGTACGGGGATGTGAAATTGAAGGTATGCTGGATAGCAATGGAAGAGTTATTGAAGACGGACCAGATCCAAAACCAGTATTGCCGGGGGATCGGCGCACCTTCAGAGTATGGCTAGATTGCAATCAGTACAGGGAAGATATGAGTGAAGTGAATAAGGGCAAAGATGACGTTTACGAAGGTTTTAATATTATTATTAGAAGAAAACCTAAAGAAAATAATTTCAAAGCTGTACTGGAGACTATTAGAGAACTTATGAATACTGAATGTGTGGTCCCAGATTGGCTTCATGACATTATTTTAGGCTATGGAGATCCTAGTGCAGCTCATTACAAAAGAATGCCTAATCAAATATCAACACTTGATTATAACGACACATTTATCGACGCTGATCATTTACGATCCTGTTTCCCGGACTACCAAATTCAATTTAAAACTGATGATCCAAAAAAATTAGTCAGGCCCTTTAGATTAACTTTTGAAAATTTAGCAAAAGAAGAGAAAGAGAAACGTAATATTCTCATTGTGGAGCCTCATAAAATTCCCAGAAGAGGACCATTTCAATTTAATGAACCAAGGAAAAATATGATACCTTTCACTCCAACTCAAATAGAAGCTATCCACTCCGGTATGCAACCAGGTTTAACTCTAGTTGTGGGACCTCCAGGTACTGGTAAAACTGACGTTGCTGTCCAAATTATATCAAATCTCTATCATAATTTTCCAAATCAAAGAACTTTAATTGTAACTCACTCCAACCAGGCTCTTAATCAGCTTTTCGATAAAATCGTCAATTTGGATATTGATGAGAGACATTTACTGCGTTTGGGTCATGGCGAAGAAGCTTTGGAAACTGAAAAAGACTTTAGTAGATACGGTAGAGTTAATTATGTGTTGGCTAAGCGTATTGATTTATTAAGGGAAGTTGATAAACTGCAACAGTCACTTGGAGTTGAAGGCGATCAAGCTTATACTTGCGAAACTGCAGGTTATTTTTATTTGTATCAAATTTTGTCAAGGTGGGAACAATTTTTGAGCGTAGTAAAAGCAGAAAATGTACCAACTGAAACCATTTTCAAAGAATTTCCATTTCATCGATTTTTTGACAATGCTCCTCAGCCATTGTTTAAAGGAAAATCTTATGAAGAAGATTTAGAAGTTGCTGAAAGCTGTTTTCGTTATATCGAACACATTTTCAATGAACTTGAAGAATTTAGAGCTTTTGAATTACTTAGATCAGGTTTGGATAGATCTAAATATCTGTTGGTAAAAGAGGCAAAAATTATTGCTATGACTTGCACCCATGCTGCTTTGAAGCGCAAAGAATTAGTTGAGATAGGATTCAAATATGATAACATTCTGATGGAAGAATCGGCGCAAATTCTGGAAATCGAAACTTTTATACCATTACTGCTTCAAAACCCGCAAGATAACTATAATCGTCTGAAACGGTGGATTATGATTGGGGATCATCATCAGTTGCCTCCTGTTATAAAGAATATGGCTTTTCAAAAATATTCAAATATGGAACAGAGTTTGTTCACAAGACTTGTTAGATTGGGAATACCCACTGTGGATTTGGATGGACAGGGTCGTGCTAGACCGAGGTAAGAACATAATTTATGAATCATAATACAATTCCACCACTTTTGTGTGCCTAAATGGTTGGCTGGCTAAGCGCTTTCAAAAATTCAACATCTTGATTTTAATTAAGTGAAAATCATTTTTCAATATAATAAACTTAGCGGCAGATGAAGTGGGACACCCAAAAAATTGCCTAATATTGACTTGCTATAACTTCGACATTTCTTTGCCGATCTTGGATTATCAGGCAGGGTTACAAATTACAAAGCGCCATCTTTGGTCTATGCGTCAGTGTCGTCGTACATTTTTTTTTTAAATTCCCTCTCGTTATACAGGGTGTGAATGTGAGGCGGCGAAAAATTTCCATTTTTTGGCGAAGAATATGGGAAAGATGGAGGGTCCAATGAAGTTCTTTCTAGTGGTGACTCGATCACTAGGTCAACACCTCGAGACGTCTTTGCCATTTTTTCGATACATTGCGTTGCTATGGAAATATAGCCATTTTATGGTATTTCGTTTTACTCTTGAAATTAGCGATTCTTCAATTAAACAATAACAGATTCCGTTTAAATTGCATCATGGAATGACTTGTATAGAAAATGGTCAACACCAGTGGCGTGCAAAAGGGAATTTATGAAATTAAAATAAAAAAAATCGATTTGTTTGAAAATTTAAACGGTTTTGTTGAGCGTTATAGTCAAAAAGGTGTTATAAATAACTGGGATGAGTTTGATTTTGATATTCAGAAGCGTTTAGTGAGAAAAAAAAAACAGTATTTTTCATGTTATTTATTGTTAACGTGTGAACAGACCTGTCAACGATACTGCTGCTCACCAACACGGTGGAGGATCTCAAAAAAGAACAAATCCTCGTCAGGATCGACCAGTAGTACGTACTATTGAAAATAGAGTTTGGACTGTCAAGAGAATCCTAACGCATCTGCAGTTGAATATTTCAGCAGACACCATTAGAAGACGCCTACATGACCAGGGATCAAATTCTCCCGTCGGGCAAAGTGCCCACTTTTTACAGTCACCGGGGGAACTGAAAGAAATGGGCCCAGGAACACCTGAATTGGGATTTTAGGTGGAGAAACTGTCTTTTCGTTGATGTATGCCGTTTTAACTTCTACAATTCTGACGGTCGATTGCTAACCTGGCGGAGATGGGGAGAACGTTTTTTAGAAGAAAACGCGTCCCTAAGTTGCATTTGGCGGTGGAGGATTGACAATTTGGGTCGGTATCTAACACATCGGAAGAACAGAACTCGTCGTATCGTGGTATTTCGGGGCAATGTTAACAGCCAAGTGTCCCTGGATAAATGTCAGAATCCGCAAGTTCTCCGGCATGCTCGAAATTATGGAGGGGATTTTGTTCTTGTAGACGATAATGCTCAGCCTCATCGGGCATTATTAGTGAACCGGTATCTGCAAGGGCAGAAGTTCAATCGTACCGAATTGCCTCCTAGATCCCAGACATGAATCCAATTGAGCACGTCTGGAGCTGAATGAAGTTAGAGCTTTCCTGGGGAGAACGTCAGCCAGAAGCTCTAGACGATCTCGAGGAGATGATTCTGGAGCTCTGGGAGTCAGTTACTATAGAGCTAATTAACCGAATAATTTCGAGCGTGCCATAGCGGTGTCACGCAGTTATTCAGGCTAGAAGAGAACCAAAATGACATCATATCAGAGTTATTAATAACACCTTTTACACCCATATGCACCGTATGCGTATGGACTTGGGAGTTTATTCTCGCTTATTTCGAAAATTTGCATATAAAAGAGAAGTCCTAACCTGGTTTCAGCAACTAATCTGAATTGAGTCCTTAATCCTTATGGTGCATTTGTGCGTTAAATTTTAAAGCTTAACAAAACTTAAAAATTTCAGATAAAATCGATTTTTTTTATTTTAATTTCATAAACCCCCTTTTGCACGCCACTGGTGTTGACTATTTTCTATACAAGTCATTTCATGATGCAATTTAAACGGAATCTGTTATTGTTCAATTAAAGAATTGCTAATTTCAAGAGAAAAACGAAATACCATAAAATGGCCATATTTCCATAGCAACGCGATGTATCGAAAAAATGGCAAAGACGTCTCGGGGTGTTGGCCTAGTGATCGAGTCACCACTAGAAAGAACTTTTTTGGACCCTCTATCTTTCCCATATTCTTCGCCAAAAAACGGAATTTTTTTCCGCGTTACATTCACACCCTGTATAACGAGAAGGAATTTTTTAAAAAAATGTACGACGACACTGATGCCTAGACCAAAGACGGCGCTTTGTAACCCTGCCTGATAATCCAAGATCGGCAGAGAAATGTCGAAGTTATAGCAAGTCAAAATTAGGCAATTTTTCGGGTGTCCCACTTCATCTGCCGCTTAGTTTATATCACATTCGTCAAACTATTGTATTTAATTTTAAATTGTTTCTTTAGCGAAATAGTTTTAGAAATCGTTTTTTCCTTAGTAGGCTTATTTTGAGCTGAACCTCAAACAAATTCGCTACAAGTTAATTTTTGTGCCATTGTGTTTCTTTTGAGGTTTTATATAACTGGCTAAAAATCCCAAAAGATCCGATATGGGGCGCAGCTCCTAGATCACCCCCAAAAGTACGTTTTTTTAATTTTTGCAATTTTCTTAAAATCAAAGTTTTTCGGAAAATTTGCAAGAAACCTTTTTTGTAGAGCACAAAATTAGCAATTTTTTGGTATGAAATACTTTATTATTTAAATAAGCTTGAGATATACAGGGTGAGTTATTAAGCGCGTGGTGGTCTATAACTCCTATACTAACAGAGATCGAAGAAACCACTAAATGCAAATTTGTAGATAAACATGAGTACTATATTCCTAAATTATTTTTTAGTATACAGGGTGGCCCAATGGGTAGTGATGACACAAAGGTATAATTTTTCAAATGACTCTCCCTGTATATTATGACATTTTCGATTCTGAAGAATATTGTAGACATATTTCATGTAAAATATCATATACCTATCTTCAACTGTTTCGGAAATATTGACAGTTGAAAATTGACTTTTTTGCATCTTTGACAGGCTGTAAAACCTGAACGGTTGATTCTATAGCAAAACCGATCATACGTTCTTATCTCAGTTTTTCATAAACTATCATTTGATACCAACTGCGCAATCGCAATCGCTTAAATTCAAAGTTGGTGTCAAATGATAGCTTATGAAAATCTAGGATAGGAATGTAAAATCGGTTCTGCTGTAAAATCAACCATTTAGGTTTTACAATCTGTCAAAGATGCAAAAAAAGTAAATTTTAAACTGTCAATAATAGTCAATATTTTCGAAACAGTTGAAGATAGGTATATGACATTGTACAGGGTGGGCCAATTTGGACACTTTTAATAGGAAACATCAATTTCTGAGCGGGATACAAAAAAAATTAACCCCCCACTCTGAGGCTCAGATTTCATGAAATTTTGATTGGTGCGAACCGCATTTTGATATTTTTAACCGTTTAGCCGCTAGAGGGGTATTCTCGATTTGGAGCAATAATGTGAAACCATCATAACTTTTTTGTTTATGCAAATAATTGATTTCCGTAAAAATTTTCTAGAAGCACTTTTTCAAGCAAAATTCAGTGACGTTCTCAGTTTTTTTCTAGTTGGTCCAAACTCCGAGATATTGACCAAAGTCTGGTTTTTTTCAATAGAACACCTAATATATCAATAGCTCATAAGATAGCTCTGCTTTTTCTGATTTCAAGGATATAAAGTTTGATAGGCTTATATCTAACAGTTTTCGAGAAAAAATAATATTTCGGTTTTTGTCATAAGAAGCAATGTGTAAAAATAGTTAATTTTGTATCTAGTGCGCGAAATGCTACTTTGGTGATCGAGATCTGATTTTTTTAACTCGGTTGCGGCTACTTTGGTGATCGAGATATGATTTTTTTAACGAGGCGCAGCCGTTGAAAACCGAAATAATTATTTTTCTCGAAAACTGTTAGTTATAAACCTATCAAACTTTATATCATTGAAATCAGAAAAGGCAGAGGTTTCTAATGAGCTATTAATATATGGGGTGTCCTATCGAAAAAAACCAGACTTTGGTCAATATTTGGAAGTTGGGACCAACTAGAAAAAAACTGAGAACGTCACTGAATTCTGCTTAGAAAAGTGCTTCCAGAAAGTTTTTACGGAAATTAATTTTTTCCAATAACAAAAAAGTTATGAAGGTTTCAGATTATTGCTCAAAATCGAGAAGCGCCCTTTAGCTGCTAAACGGTTGAAGATATAAAAATGCGGTTTGCACCAATCAAAATTTCATGAAATTTGAGCCCAGAGTGGGGGGTTCATTTTTTTGCTCTCGCTCAGAAATTGATGTTTCCTATTAAAAGTGTCCAAATTGGCCCACCCTGAAATATGTCTAGAATTTTCCATAGAATCCAGAAATGTCATAATATACAGGAATAGTCATTTAAAAAAACATAGCTTTGTATCACCGCTACTTATTGGGCTACCCTGTATACTTGAAAATAATTTAGGAATGTAGTACTCATGTTTATCTACAAGTTTTGTATTTAGTTTTTTCTTCGATCTCCGTTAGTATAGGATATATGGACCACCGCGCGCTTAGTAACTCATCCTGTATAATGGGTATTTATACACCAAGTGAGCCAAATGAATGTTTATTCATGACAAGAAAGTTTGACCCATGAGCCCTAGCGAGTGGGTTAATTTTCTTCGAATAAATAAACATTTTAACTCACGTGCTGTAAGTATACAAAATTTTATCCCATTTTGTGGAAATTAAGAAGATAAATTACAAGGAAAAATGCCGTTAGTGAGTTAAAAATATTTTGAATCACTGAGTTGTCAGATTTTTAGTTAGGCAGAGTGACCTAAAATGCCGAGAGTGAGTTAACATTTTTTTGAATCACTGGAGGTGATAAAAATCTACTTACCTTTATTGTTATGCGTTCAATAATGTCATTTTTAAACGTCAAAATGGGATAAAAATATAAGAAAGTAGGATTTAAATTTGTATTGGTCTTCCTTATCATTCTAGTACCATGTGGCTATATTACTTAACTGGTGTTTACAATTCGGAATATTTATTGTTATAACCAATCAAAAGCCGGGAAAATTGAAAAATTGAATGTTTAATCCAATTATTCACAATCGGAAATATTCGAACATTGAATTTTAAAACGTCAAATTAAGCCAATCAAGAGCCGGGAATATTTGAAAATTGAATTTTAATGCAAATCAAGAGTCGGGAATTTACAAATATTGAATTTTTAAGCCAATCAAAAACGGAGAAAATTTAAAAATTTAATTTTGAAACCAATCAATAACCGGAAATATTCAAACATTGAATTTTGAAACGTCAAATTGAGTCATCAAAACCCGGGAATATTTGAAAATTGAATTTTGAAGCAAATCAAGAGCCAAGAATTTACAATTATTGAATTTTTAAGCCAGTTAAGAATCGGAAACATTCGAACATTGAAATTTAAAACGTTAAATTAAGCCAATCAAGAGCCGGGAATATTTGAAAATTGAATTTAAAAGTAAATCAAGAGCCGAGAATTTACAAATATTGAATTTGTCAGCCAATCAAAACGAAATATTTTAGTGGTTTTTGTCGCTAAAATAAATAACTGTTGAATTCTAAGGCAGGGGCGTAGCCAGCAGGGGGGAGACGGGGGAGCCTCCCCCCCAGGGCGCAGCTGCCACAGGGGCGCCAAAATAGGCAAAGTGAAAAAAATAAAATAAAAAAAAAAATAGTCAAAAGGCAAGTTTCTGAGTAGGTAATAAAATACTATTTTACAACTATTATAATGTGAACACGCCCCGCCGGTTATTGTGAACACGCTTTAGTCAAGAGTTCCATATTTCTATTGTGAACACGCCCTAGTCAAAAGTTCCATCAAAACGGGGCAACGGAAACTCGGTGAATCACCGGTTAATTCGGCAATGGGGATTTCGTCTGCAAGCAAAATGAGCAAAATTTGACAGAAGTCATGTGATTTGACACGTGAAAAAATATAAGTGGTGGATAAGTGATCACGTGACGTCCGTCAAAATTCGCTCCTTTTGCTCGCAGATGCAATTACCGAACCCAGCCACGAACTCAGCTTTCAGTGATGTAAGTGATATTGTAACGTACAGGGTTATTGTTTATAAGTGTCCCCTCTATCTTTCTTTTTTGACATTTTAGAAAGAGAGTTTGGGTTTTGTAGTTGAAACAATTTTTTTTTTAAACTTACTTTCGCATATAAAGGGTGTTTCAGAAAAGCTGGCTGTAGTCCAACTTATTTTAAATAGAAATACCCTATACAGAGTGGCAAAAAAGTCGCGCATAGTACCTGTAACTTTTTAATTATCTCGTATACGAAAAAGTGACCTTAACGAAAGTTGTTCAGTAAATTATTTCCCACATTTCTACCTGGATAAATTGTTTCTGTCACTTCTGGTTTGTTTGCTATCTAGACCAACTTTGTTTTTTCAAATAGAACACCCTGTATGTGATTGCATATTTGGATTCTACGTGAAATTCTGAGCAGATTTTATGTGATATACCTTATACCTAAGTTCAACTGTGGAAATATTGACAATTGAAAATGGACATTTTGCAACTTTGACAGGCTGTAAAACCTAAACGGTTAATTTGACATCATTTGACACCAACTTTGAATTTAATCTATGATTAAAAAATTCCAATGAAATTTAATCTCCGATTAAATTCAAAGTTGGTGTCAAATGATGGTTTATGAGAATCTAAGATAGGAATGTGAAATCGGTTTTTCTCTAAAATTAACCATTTAGGTTTTACAGGCTATCAATGTTGCAAAAAAGTTTATTTTCAACTGTCAATATTTCGAAAACAGTAGAACTTAGGTATAGGGTATATCACATGAAATATGTTCAGAATTTTACGTAGAATTTAAATATGCAATCACATATAGGGTGTTTCATTTGAAAAAACAAAGTTGGTCTGGATAGCAAACAAACCAGAAGTGGTAGGAACAATCTGTCCAGGTAGAAATGTGGGAAATAATTTACTGAGCAACTTTCATTAAGGTCACTTTTTCGTATACGGGGTAATTAAAAAGTTACAGGTATTATGCGCGACTTTTTTGCCACTCTGTATATAATTGAATATACGGATTCGACCTAAAATCACAGCATCACAGCATATTATACAAAAACAATCAGTTAGCTAACTCGAGCTCTGTATCCTCAAATGGCGGCGTGCGCAGAAAAGATGCGCGTCAAATGTTGTGCTTTTGCCGTAGCCGTGTTAGGCTGTATCCTCAAATAGCGGCGTGCGCAGAAGAGATGCGCCTGAGAGTTAACCTGCTGTTTGCTTTTGTATATGCTGTGGTAAAATTCTGAGCAAATCTGCTGTGATAAACCCTATATACATTCCTATATCTAAGTTCAACTGTTTTGGAAACATTAATTCAATCGTAGATTAAATTCAAAGTTGGTATCAATATGGTATCAAATGATAATTTATGAAAATCTAAGATGAGAATTTCAGCTCGGTTTTGCTTTTGTCTAAAATTAACCGTTTAGGTTTTAAAGTCTGTTAAAGTTGCAAAAAAAATTGGCTTTGCGGCGCTTAGGGGGCGCCGGATCTCAGTCTCCCCCCCTAGAGGTAGTGATATCGCTACGGCCCTGTTCTAAGGCCTGTATCGACACTAAAACTTCTTCAAATAATACAAATGAGTACACCATTTGATTCGAAATTTTGTACTCTACAAAAAACGTTGTTCTTTTTTGGTTAAACTTACCGTTTTTGAGAAAATTCCAACAAACCTAAAAAATGTACCTTTGGGGGTGGTTTTGGGGTTACGCCCCCTATCGGATTTTTTGGGATTTTTATCCCATTATAGGAAACACCTTACTCTATGGAAACACTGAAAGGAACACAATGGCGCAAAAATCAGCTTGTAGCGAATTTGTTTAGGGTTGCCCACCTAGTTTTACCAGCTTGGCCATACAAAAGTTCTAATGTTATGACGATAAATAATTTTCAATTATTCACTTAAGGTGGGTTCTAATAGCCATTTAATTTAACTTAGGATTTAATGTAATTTAATTTAAAAAAGTGTATGACAATTTTTTTTTATCTCCAAACGTCAAAAAAACGTCTCTTTTTTAACCCCTGTCAAGATGTCAAATTTTGATTTCTATGCTGCTAGGCAAATCCAGCGGGTTAACACCTGTCAAGGTGGTAGAAATTTAATTTTTCTCCGAATGACAGTAAAAGCGGCCTTTTAATGACACTTGACAGGATCAAAAGTTGTATTTTTACTGCCTAGGCAGTAAAAGTGGACTTTTACTGCCTAAGCATTAAAAGTGATAGTGTCACAACGTTCCAGGTAATAATTTCCCTCAATTTGGTATTTGAAATTGATGGTGACAATGACAATTGTCAAAATAATTTAATTATTTGGATAATAAATAATGAATGAAATAAATATAAAAAAGATGTCAATGTGTGAATTTGAACATTCGGAGAAAAAATTATATGTTTTACATGGCAGAAAAGCAGATTTAATGCCTCGGCTGGTTTCACCTGAAACACCAGCCGCGGGATTAAATCTTGTAGTTTTCTGCCTAGTAAAACAAATAACTATTTTATGGCAACCCCAGCGGCAGCAAAAGTCCTTTTAGTGCCGCTCGGACTTTTACTGCCGCTTAACCATCCACTTGCCCCCAAGCTTAGCCCATTCGTTTGGAGAAAAAATAGTGTGTTGCATACGGAGTAGAAGCACTTTTTTATGTTTCAGCAGTATTGCAAGCCTCATTACGTTCGGATCGCAAACCTATCGCTTCAGCACATAAAAGTAAAGCTTCTACTCCTAATACAGGGTGGCGCAAAATGAACGTTATGATTTGAATGTTTTATAAATTTTTTATTTTTAAGTGAATTGTTAATATATTTTTTTTTTTAACACAGCTTATGAATGGAGAAAATTTTTGACTCAAATCAAAGACAATACTACTACGTACTCGTAGTAGTATTGTCTTTGCTCAAATGTGAAAAATGACATCTTGCAAGTGTCCCTACTAAACCTTGTTGCTGAAAATTTGCAACCAGACGATTTATTGTTGACACGGAGGGTCCAACACGCACATTAAAATACCGACGATATGCACGCTGCGTAAGAACAATAATTGAGTTTCCATTCGCAAAGTAAAATTTAATGATTTTCGTTCGTTCTTGTATCGTGTATTGTTTCATTTTAAATTCCCCAAGTCTTCTTTACAAAATTCTAAAACGAAAGAGAAATTAAAAATTTTAATAAAAAAGTTATAAAACAATCAAATCATAACGTTCATTTTGCGCCAACCTGTATTAAGTTAAATTATTATATTAAATTCTAAATTAAATTTAATATTTAATGGCTGTTAGAACCCACCTTTACATTATAATCGGTCCTCAAAAACAAATCATATCAAAGATTACTATATGGTTTCTTAAACATATGTTCCAGCAATATTTTTCTTTAATTTTGTCATTAAATTTTGTAAAATCCTGTCCGATACAGCAAAGGTGATAAAGAAACAATAATGCGACGTACCAAAGCACTCTTTGATTTGTTTTTTTTTTTTCTGAAGAGCCGTTATGTATGTACTTAATTTGCTGTAAATTGCTGTTATTTTTTTGAGATATTGAAGTTGTGTGTTCACATTTAGGCAATTCTCCTGAATTTTTCAATATATGTACTGACATTATTTTTCTTTTAGCATTTGCAATCTCTACAAGTGGCGTTATAAAAATCTGGGAAATTTGACTCACGTGGAAGAGTGGCCCGAGTACCAAAGAGCAAATGCAGGTTTTGTGTACGACTTTCAGTTGATCGATGTGCAAGATTTCAACGGTGTCGGAGAATCCGAACCGAATCCATACTTCTACCAGGTGAAAAATTTCTTATATTCTGGAAGCTAAATGTTACTAATTTTCTTCCCTTATTCCAGAATTTAGCTGAAGCCGAATATTGCGTAGCTGTGTTTATGTTTATGCGCCTTATTGGTTATCCAGCCAGTAAAATAACAATTTTAACGACTTACAATGGACAAAAACATTTAATAAGAGACGTAATTAATGCTAGATGTGCTAATAACCCATTGATTGGAAGGCCACATAAGGTAATCTATAAACTATAAAGTAATACCTATCATTGCATCTTGCATATTATGTAGATTGTAGTGAAAGAAAATTTATTCAAATAGGAATACTATCAACTATATTTAGATTCAACTATTCAAAACTAACAAATGTACAATTATATTTTGGAAGTGAATCGATTGAATCCATCTTGTATTCAACTTTAAAAAAAAAGTTACGCGTAAACTGCATAGAGCCAGCAAAAGAGGCCACACTACAAGAATTCAAAAAAACTAAATTTTTGATAAAACAGTCTACAATACACATTGGTAAAGTTACTAATAAAGTGCTTTGGTAGAAAATATTGATTCGGCCGCCTCCATCTATTAACATCTTGTCACAACCAACATCATCTTCACTTTCTGCAGCAGATATGTTATTTGAAAAATTAATTTTTTTATTCAGGTTACTACAGTGGACAAATACCAGGGTCAACAAAATGACTATATTTTACTTTCATTGGTGAAAACAGCAGCCGTTGGTCATATTAGAGATGTCAGACGTTTGGTAGTGGCCATGTCTCGTGCCAGACTTGGACTTTACATATTTGCCAGGGTTTCCTTGTTCCAAAATTGTTATGAACTTACTCCTGCATTTGAACAGCTAACAAAAAGACCAACAAAATTGCACCTACACTTGAACGAACTCTATCCCACTGAAAGATTCAACAACGCCGAACCAAATCTGCAACCAATGGTAGTGGAAGACATGACTCACATGGCCAATTATGTTTACCAGTTTTATATAGACCGAGTGAAAGCGATGAAAAAACAATTTGAGCGTTCCCATGGAAATCAATGGGAAAAACCTGGACACATTGAAGGAAAATCTCATGAAGGAATAATTACGACGCATCCAGGTGAAGATAGAGATACAGATAGTGAAGATGAGGGTGACAATAAATCACAAATACCTGTGCCAATACAGGATGAGCCTATTGAGGAAAATATAGCAGAGCAACCTCCAATTAGAGAGTCTGTTGTTGAACAAAATACTGAAGAACAAGTTCAGGTAGGAACTTAATATATATATTCAAAAATGTTCTTCTAATCATTTCCTTTTTTTTAGGTCATTGAAGATGATGATGAAGAAATGGATGGTAATAGAGATGAGGTTATGGATACTGGAGAAGCGCGTAGCGATGAATAAGATTTTAATTTGGTATAATTAACTTCAATTATAGGCATTTTCTGTATTTTTTTATTTATAATTAATTAAATAAATACAATAAGTTCAACTTTACAAAATTGTTTTAGACTTTTTAAAATAGGTTATCAAGTTTGCAGTTCCACTTGGACTTATCAATTATTCAGCTATTTTGTTATCTTTTTCACTTGGTGTTGTGATTTCTGATTCAATTTTCAAATCTGATGCACCTGGCTTACTATTATCTTCACTGTCAGAGCCCGAAGAGAGAAAGTCTTCATCACTATCTACCCTAAAATTTCAAGTAACAAATTAAGTAAAATAGATACATAATACACATTCTAACCAGAAGTTTTTTTGAAACAGGGGAGCTGCGTTCCCATGAGAAAAATATATACTGTGTTTGTTGCTCATATTAATACATTTTTGAACTACACTGTCAAAGACAGAACAATCGTTCTCATGAGAACGCTGGTCTCTAAGAATGTAACGCGTCATCCTATTATAATTGAAGTTTTGAAGATCTAGGTAAATAACTTTTTATGTCACCTCTAAGCGTTCAATCCAATTTTCCTTCAGTTTGGATCCAGTGAAGAAGCCAACTCTGGAATTTTAAATATGACATAATATGGTAGGTATACTTATAGTATTTTTCAATGAACAAAATCTGTTATTTCATACTTGTCAAGGGAATGTTTGAGAAAATTATGAACAACGACTACAGGAACTAAAAAAAAAAAATGTTTCCATTAATTCAATTTAGGCATTTATATCTACCTGTCACCTGAGCTTGGGATGCCTATCCATTCTGGTACAGGGTGATCTAGTATAAAGTGAACACCCGCTAAAAAGCTTACTTATTTTTGAAAAAATCAAGATAGCCATTTGGTGTATTTTGTTTCTAGGTAAATCCAAATAAATATTACCTTTATTTTACCTTCAATAAAACTGCTGGGTATTGTTTTATGATAGCTTTTTGGCTATTTTTATGTAAATTTTAGATAGAGAATATACAAGGTCCCAACTATATCATAGGAACAGCATTGATTTGCTATCTCGGTAACGCTTAAAATTACGAGGGCGTTTAAATTAGAAAAAAGTTGCCATTTTTGAAGAATGTTAAAAATATACCTAATAATTGTGAATTTGAACCATGTCTGTAAAATCAATAGATTTTGAAATATTTGATAAAATGATTTTTGAAAATTTGCTGTATTTGCGAAACTAATAGAAATTCGGCAACAACGAAATAGCTATTTTCCTAACGAGTGCCGGAAATTTCTTCCCGCAAGAGTTAGGAACTATATTTTTTCTACGAGCATACTAAAGCTGATGTTACGAAGAGTTTAATTTAAAAAAAATGCGATTATGCAGAAGGTAGAATTAAAAATGTATTAATAGTTATTCATACACCAAGTGAGTTAAATGAATGTTTATTCATGAGAAGAAAGTTTAACCCACGAGACCTAGCGAGTGGGTTAATTTTCTTCGAATGAATGAACATTTTAACTCACGTGATGTATACAAAATTTTATCCCATTTTGTGGAGATTAAAAAAATAAAGTACAAGGGAAAATGCTGAGAGTGAGTTAAAAATATTTCAAATCACTGAGGTTTCAGATTTTTAGTTGGGCAGAGTGACTTAAAATGCTGAGAGTGAGTTAAAATGTTTTTAAATCACTGAGGTGATAAACGTCTACTTACCTTTATTGTTTTGCGGTCAATAATGTCATTTTTAAACGTCAAAATGGGATAATAGTTATTTATACACCAAGTGAGTTAAATGAATGTTTATTCATGAGAAGAAAGTTTAACCCACGAGCTCTAGCGAGTGGGTTAATTTTCTTCGAATGAATAAACATTCATTTAACTCAGGGGAGCAGCGTTTCCAGGAGAACAAGTGTTCCATTTTTGCTGCTTATATTATCGTTTTGACAGATATACAATCCCATAAACAATAATTAACTCTGAACTTGACGCCAATTTCAACAAAGATAAACTCAATTCGACTGACTCATCTGAGGCTATTCAGGAAGAAACTGATAATGACGTTGTAATGGCAGACAAAGACCCAGAGGAGCTCTACTCTCTTAAAAATTATATGAATAGCTTTTAATGTTAAAGATTTCAATGCTTAGGTAACAGATATAAACAATGGAAGGTTTTTTTAAAATACATTTAAAAAGCAGAAACTCAAAGACAGTAAAAAAGTTAACTCAATGTTGTTTTTTTGCTGAAAAAACAGACAACTCTGATATTCACACAAGTGGAAATGAATTCGAAAATGAAAGTTTCATAATGTAGGAGTAATAAATGATGAAGGAGGAAGACTTGGAGGAAGAATATATATTCGACCTAAATATTACTATGCAGTATATTATGTTATGATACTGCGTGGTACATCGCAAAAGTACTGCATACAGACAACAAGAAAAGAAAAGTGAAGTTTCCAAAATTGAACGTATGCCAGTTTAGATGGCCTAAAAAAAAGATGAAATTGATGATCCATTTGATTTACATTATAAAAATTTAAATAATATGAAAGAAAAATATAAAAGTTTGAAGAAATAGGGAATACCTATGTATATACTGCAATAACTTGCAATAGTTCACAATAATCACAATGGTTCGCAATATCTAGAATCATTGGGAATAGCTTACAATACTCTCACGATACTCTGCAATTGGGATTTCAAATTAAGATTGTAGCGCCGCGGTGGCGAATAGCTCAACTACTTTCTAGTACATTGATTCATAACCTCACTTTTATTTTTAACTTAATTTGCATATGATTTACATTAGCTTGAATGTTTGTCTTGCGTTTATGGGCTCTATGGCTCCTAAGGCAGGCCAAAATTCAATATAATCTATTGCGCTTACCTGACCCGAAATGGTCATATCCATACAACAGCCTAAACGGATCTTTTTCTTAAAATTTTCCACTATAGGACATTGCCAAAAGGGTCAAGGCAGATGTCCCTTATAATGTCTGTATTTGAATAACTTGTATGTGCAATAAATAAATATTTCATAAATAACTCTTTATTTTTATTTATAAATAGGTAAATATTGAATTAACAAAGTTAAATAACTTGACCACAAACCTGCCTATAATACTGGTAATTAGAATTTAATAAAAACTTGACACTTTCTGCTGTTTGCTCGTCCATTTGTATGTTGGTCTCAAAAGAGTTTAATAATTGAATACAAGTATCACTACATTCATTACTTGAACCGCTCTCACTAGAATCTTCATTTCTTTTTCTTTTGGCAGGTCTTTCAGCACACATAGAATCTGTTTTTTGGCTGGGTTTATGGATCACTGTAGAATAGGGCAAATTCTGGGATGGTTCAGCTGTTTTTTTCAATATCCAACCTTTACCTGTACTCCCACCTGTGAATAATAAAAACAGTCAAAATTTTCAAACAAAACATTTCAAAAATAGATAATAGGTCCTCAATCAATGCCTAGGAGCAGTCCTAAAAGGAAGCTAGGACACAAAAATATCTATTATGTTTGTTTACCTTAACACAAACTTCTTGCTTGAAATGCAGAGAAATACACTTTCATGAATTTGATGACTGGTTTGCTAATACGAAGTTTTAAAATCCAGGCTTTTCTTCTCCATTCTAACTATTTTCCCATCTTCATTTCCAAATAAACCCGTAGGCCTGTTTCAAGGGGAAATATGTGGAAACTCAACCCTTTGTAAGCATCTTTTTTGGCCCAAAACTTGCACTGAGGAACACAACAGTAGTGATTTGAGGTCATGATTGAATGTATCTGATATAATTTACACTTATTTATTCCCCAACACGCTTTAAAAATTCAAAAAAACTTCAAAAATATTCACAAAAACACAATGGTAAACAATACAATAACAAACGACAATGTACTACAAACTAGTTCCATAATTTGCCGCCAGATAGAGTATCGCTTATCTTGAAATCCCACGAAACTTGGTAGGGTTTATATTCTAACCAAACGCCATTTTTATGCATTTACGACAAGTTTTCCTGACTACCCCATAAACGAAGCACCCTGTATATTCGAAAATATTTTTAACTAATGCATATTAGAGTATCAAACAACTTTGTAATTTAAATTTTTTTTCTTGCATCACCCTGTAAGGAGATATCGTCCGATATCGCACTAAGTGGACACCCTGTATACCTGGCGTCTCATTTGAAAGAAGAAAGTTACGGTCACTTCCGGTCAAACCGGAAGTGATAATAAATAATTGAATACGTCAAATAATGCACATCCGGGCAAGGGGTATTTCACTGAAGTTTTTTTGTACATATACCGGGTGCCCACAAGATTACTTTCCGGCTGTCATATTTTTGTTTGTTTATCGATATCAACGGAACTTGGTAGGTTTGATATTCTAACGAAACGCCATTTTTAGGCATTTATGTCAAGTTTTCCTGACTTCCGGTTTCACCGGAAATGACCAAAACTTTCTATTTTCAAATGGCACACCCTGTATATTTTTTGTTTTTTGGATTATACAGATCGTTTTACGTCCCACTGTACCACTTTTAAATCGAGTTTTGTCCAAATTTCGTTTTGAAATTAAAGGACCCCGCAATATTTAAATGGAAATTGGTTACCCGTGATATTTGGATGAAAATTCAATATGTTATTGGGGATGCCGTAAGCAACATTTTTTACCATGGGCACAACCCTGTATATATGACAGGTGAGGCGTGGTGATCTGTCAAATATTGGAATCTTATATCCAAAAGCAGAGTAACTATGGCAGATTTTGATGAGCAAAAATTCTATTTCTATATGTACTAAGTCGACAAATTTAAGTCGAAAAATGTCGACCATTTTGACACCTGCCAAAACCCTGTCAAACGGCCGCACTCATCTTTTCCAGTTATCAATATTTCATGATGTCATTTGACACTTTTAACTTGTATGTAAATTCTGAAGTCAAAAATTGAAAAAAAAAATGACAGTACTGTCAAAACCTGTAATTTGTTTTAGTAGAAAAAAAATACTCTAATCTGATTCTTTTTTGTTTCAAGGCAGTTTATTGGTGATAAAACATTAAACAAAGTTCATGCATGTCACATTTTGACAACTGTCAGAATCTGTTTTTGCTTTTTGGTTCATATTGAGTTTGTTTGCTTAGTGAAGTTCTACAACTACAATGATAGAATAATACAATAATACAATAGAACTAAACCTTCACCAAGCAAACAAACTCAATTTGAACCAAAAATCTATTAACAGATTCTGACAGTTGTCAAAATGTGACATGCATGAACATTGTTTAATGT